ATCTTCTATTTTAAATTTTAATTTTAAAAAAAAAGAATGGGCTAACGATTAGTTTCTCTCACGCTTTCGGCCCGTTAGTTGGTGAGCAAGGCAAGCTAAAGTGGGTTGGTAACTTACCTTGCCACTCATAAGTGTAAATGAAACGTGATCTTGCTACTCGTAGATCTAAATGTCACACTTGATATTATTCAACGTAATTGATTTATCCACTGTAATATCAATCCTTTAGTGTAACGTGTCATTTAGAAGATAATAAGGTGACAATTCAATGTTGCACCAACCTGTGTCATTTACATTGTTACGTTGCCAAACAGGAAACTACATTGGGTGAAAAAAAAGAGATTGAGCTACCACATTCAATAATAGTGACAAATATTAAAAGTGGATTTAAACCTAGAATATACATTAAAATGTATATTAAGTTTTATCAAAGTTCAACGAAGGAACATTGATTCAATATAGACGGAACCTTCATATTTTTTAGTTATAATGTGATATATTGATTTGAAGTTACACTAATAGTTCTTGCATCATATCATATATCATGTTATACATACAAAGGCAAAAGCCAACTTCAGCTGAATTACTACTCTAAAAGCTGCCCGAAAGCAGAGGACATCATCAAGCAACAAGTCACACAACTATATCACAAGCATGGAAACACTGCCGTCTCATGGGTTAGAAATCTCTTCCACGATTGCGTCGTCCAGGTCAGGAACAAATACCCATATAGATGACACTGTAATTTTCTTATAATATTCGTAACTGTTCGCAAAAATATCAATATACGAATACTGAATTGAATTCTGATGCAGTCATGCGATGCATCGCTACTTTTAGAGACGGCGCGCGACGGTACTTTAGTGTCGGAGCAGACATCGGAGAGAAGTTTCGGTATGAGGAACTTTAAGTACGTAAACACCATCAAAGCCGCAGTTGAAGAAGAATGTCCCTTGACTGTGTCATGCGCTGACATTATTGCTCTTTCTGCTAGAGATGGCATTTCCTTGGTCTGATGATTTTTTTCTTTTTTTTGTTTATTAATTGTGTCCATAATTCATCAAGGATAAAGGTTTTCTTGAGAGAGTTAATTGAAAATGTGTGGTTTATAATGATTTCTCAGTTGGGTGGACCAAGCATTGAAATGAAGACAGGGCGAAGGGATAGCAAACAAAGCTATGCAAAAGAGGTGGAAGACTTGATTCCAAACCACAATGATTCGATTTTCGTAGTGCTGTCTCGTTTTCAAGCCATTGGCATTGACGTTGAAGCCACAGTCGCTCTTTTAGGTATAAAACATTCCCTATGTTATTATTTTAACGAAACTATTACTTAATGCACACATGCCTAACCTTTTAGGCAGAAACCACGTCACACAAGCTAGGTCAATAAAACTAGAGAAAAAAATAAAAATAATAAAATCAATGAAAAGTTGACTTAAGATGATTTATTATTCGTTTATTTATTCAGGAGCTCACTCGGTAGGAAGAGTTCACTGCGTGAATCTTGTACACAGATTATATCCTACCGTGGACACAACACTTGATCCTGCACATGCTGAGTACCTGAAACGTCGGTGTCCTACACCGAATCCTGATCCAAAGGCTGTGTTGTATTCAAGGAATGACCTGAAAACGCCCATGATCATTGACAACAACTACTACAAGAACATCTTGGAACATAAGGGCCTTCTCCTGGTGGATGAAGAGCTTGCCACTGACTCAAGAACAGCACCTTACGTCCAAAAGATGGCCAATGATAATCAATATTTCCACCAGCAGTTCTCAAGGGCCATTCAATTGTTATCTGAGACCAATCCTCTACAAGGGGATCAAGGAGAAATTAGAAAGGACTGTCGCTACCTCAATGTCGATTAAATATATATATATATATATATATATATATATATATATATATA